ATAAAGTTCCACCAGGGCAAAATTCAGAAAAGATAAAGGTGGCATATTCTGTTACTTTGACAGAAAACATTTCTATTATATTTGGATGTTTTAATTCTCGCCAAATTGCTATTTCTCTTTCAAGCAATGCCTATTAAAATACATGTGTGTGTGCGCGTGTGTTAATAATATATATATACATGTAATAACAAATATATATATATATATATAATAATAATAAACATGTTATATACCTGTATATGATCATTATCTTCACATTCTTGATTATTTTTATTCAATCTATTGATATATTCTTCCATATACATTTTTACTATACATATATATATATATATACTATATATGTGGGGCTTTTCAAAGCAATTTCGGAACTCTTTATGTAGAAGATTTTTGGACTAGAAAGCATGCCCACTCCCCATAACATTGTTTCCTTGAGATGCAGATCTTTTTTTTCTATTTTTAGAAAAGCTCTCATATCTCATAGTATATATAAAATAAAATAAATGGGGAATTTCTTTTTGCGCCCTTACACATGAAGAGCGCGTAAATTATGTCACGAAAATATTAATTGCGCCAATTTTCAAAAGAGACTGTATCGAATCGTTAAATCCCAAGGTCAACTATAACTTCCAAGATTTAACCTTTTGAAGCAAGGCTTGAACATTCAAAGCTTGTTTTATCACAACCAGTTAAACGAATGCACAAATCAAACAATCCTAAAATAATAATAATAATAATTCTATGAGTATTGTATTTATTTATTTTTTTTTTTTTTTTTGTGGAAGACAATTCGAATAATGGTGTTTTAATGTTCATAGCATCAATAAATGATGAGATATATAGTAAACAAAAATATCTCACTAATAAGTGATCTAAATTTTATAAATTAGACACCTCATTGAGAGAATTTGAATGATAGTTGTTTTATCTAAAACAGCCAGATATTGACCGAGTTATGGCAGTTTAAAGTTTTTCAACCATTTCGACTTTTAATTTCAACTTTTGACCGCTTTAATTTTTATTTGTATTTTATTAAAAAAATAAAAATTTTTATTTTTATAATTTTCAATAACTAAAAAAATACGTTTTACCATTAAACAAAATACGTTTTATTCAGTATTATTCCCGTATTAGTATTAGTATTAGTAACTTTTGATACTAATATTAATACAAAATTTGCATATTACAATACTTTCCGTACCAATAATAGTAATACTGATACTAATACGTGTTGTTTATTATCTAAAATTCCGTATTTTCCATACTAATACTAATACGGTTTATTCCGTATCTTTTCCGTGTTTTATTTTTTTTATAGTAATAGGCCCTTGACAGAGTTAATTTTGCAGTTTACTTTCCTACAATTGCGTCTTGTGTGTGCCCTTTAGAAAAGGAAATCTTATGACTAAGTGAATAAATAGTAATAGCTAACATATGGATAACAACAACATATTAATATTCTGTACGACATTATAACGTTTGTATACATTAATATTAGTTAGTAATAATAAACCGTGACGATCAGTTCAGATCCCTGGAAAAAAACATTCAATGATAGTAATAGTAGTAATAAAAAGCTTGGTGTACAAAGAAGTTAACATGTAATTTATTAAATGCATCCTTTTTACAAATTAAATTGTTGTATTCCTTTATTATTATTATTATTATAATTATTAAATCAATGATTGGGCATGTGTCTATTCCATTTTTGCAAGAATGAAAATCAACAACGACGAAATATTAATAATAATAAACAAATATAAAATACTTTTTCAAGAAAATATTTAAATACAATTAAAAATTCATTTCCAGGAAAATTATTTTCTTTCCTTTTTATATATAAAAAAATTTTTTTTAATTAAAAATTAAAAATACCATTCCTCTCATTTAATAATCATCAATCAATTAAAGAAGAAACCATGAAATTAATAAAATGCTTTACATTTAATTTATTACTTATTGTTATAACTTTAACATCAGCTCAATCACAATTTTCGAAAATTTCTGATGCATGTACCCAGGTATTAACACCACTGATAAGTAACAAAGAACTTAATGCTTGTATACCACTTGCATCGTTAGCACCCTCTGGTAAAAATGATACCTATGGCACATTAGTTAAAGGAGCTGATAAACTGTGTGCTGCTGATAAATGTTCTGACAATTTAATCACAACCATTCAGAACAACATTGAAAAAGGATGTACAACTGACTTGACAAACCAAGTTCCAGAAGTATTGGCAATTGATTTTCTCTTCACCTATTATTCACCAATTAGAGATTCAGCATGTCTCAAAAATTCAACTAATGGATATTGTTTTATTGAAACTATTGATAAGTTAAAAAATTATGAGAAAAATATTACTAATGTCAATTCATTTGATTCAGCATTGGATAGTTTTAACCAGCTGCCAACAGATGTTGTTTGTACAACTTGCAATAAAGCAATTGCAAACACTTTTTTCAATTATCAAGATGCTAATCCTGATAGGACTAAACGATTTGCCACTCCAGTAGCTAGCGTTAAATCCATTTTGGGAAATAAATGTGGTGCAGACTTTACAAGTAAGTGATCTTTTGGAGGAAGACAAATGAGGAGTGAGAGTTAATTTTATAATAATCTCTAATCTAATCATTATTATTATTTTTTTAGATGGAAAAGTTCCAAAGACAAGTTCATCAAATATTATTAAATTAGATTTTGCATTATTATTATTCATCAATTCATCAGCTTTGATTTTATTATTTTCTAAAATATTTTAAATAGATTTAATTTATTTAATTGTTCCAATATATAAATATATAATAAACATTGTTAATCAAGATGAGTACTAAATAAATTCTGGTGAGAGAGAAGGATATTCTTGAGACTTAGCTCCTTGGAAAAACCATCCAATAATAGTTGTGAGTGACGTGAGATATTTATCATTCTTAAACATAACATGAATTTATGAATTTATCTATATTAAATGGATGTCACGCATTAGTTTCATGATTAATATTTACTAATACTGAAAAAAAAAAGGAAACCGGAAATTCCGTCCCTGCTTAGAACTGTTGTTCATAAGAAATTTGCCTGGAAGAAAATATCCGAACCACGTTTTTAACTAATAAAAAAAAATTAAAAATATTATCATCATGTAGCTTATGTTCTAACTAATATGTATGTAAAAACCTCACATTTCTATTATTTATAATAATTTTCAAACCAAAGGAAAACAAACTTCAATTAAATTTGTTCTAAGAAAACTTTGTGCTTTTATCATTGGTAGAAAATTTGTTATTAAAAACAAAAAAAAAATGCCAAAAAAATTCGGAATAGCTGAACATGGAAAACCTTTGGGTCATAAATTAGGTGGCAGCATTCTTAATAAAATTGTAAAGATGCTTAAACTTCCAAAAATCACAGTTTATGATATCATTAGACATTATAAAAATGCCGAAAACTTAAAGTGGTCATCCCAATGCGTTAAATGTTAGTGAACAAAAAACTTTAAAAAAAATCGCACTAAAAACAATTGCAATTCTGCGGAAGAGATTCAAAGAAAATTTATTGGATTCAATGGTGTTGAAGTGTCAGTTAAAACAATTCGTAAAATTTGGTTTTTAGATGATTAATCGAAGTTCGTTTTTCTTTAGTTGAAAAATTAATATATTTAGCAGAAACGTGAAAATTTTACATGCATACACATTCATGAGAACATAATAATAAGTTACATGAAAATTTGCGGGATTAATAAAAGACGTAAACATTATCTTATCTCCAATAATTAATATTAGACAAGATTTAGTACTTTCTTCTATGACATTCCTTAGCAAACAAAAATTGACAAATAATAAAATAAACAGGCTACAGTTCACTCTCTCTATAACGAACACTAAGTAAAATCTATATAACGAACTTCCCTTTTTGTCCCTGATTCTTTTTTTTTTTTAATTAATTTCTCCCTCCATAACGGACATCTTAGTAAACACACTTTATAATGAAAAAAGGCACATATATGGGTGGAAGGTTCATTGTAGAGAGAATGAACTGTATATTTTCACAAAATACCAAGTAAAATTACAGGAAACTCTCACGTTTTTGTTTAAAGTAAAAAGAAAATTATGATATAACTTCCACAAAGAATAGGTATATAGAACAAATAGTATATATAGAGTAGATGGAGACATATTGTTATCTTGTTATTTGACTTCTACTACCATCCTCAACTCATCTCATACTTCACTGATATTAGAGTTTTCAGTAGGACATCCATGCAACATCCTACAATAAAAAGTGAAATAAATGTATTAATATTTCAATTTAACAATGGAAGCATGTAATTTTACAAAAAAAATAGCATCTAACACTTAAATATACACATTACAAATGCTTATTATTATTGCTAATACATATTGATGTACAGATCATACAGATCATAGGTGGTGAGTTTTGTTGTTCTTTTTAGTTTAATTGGATATTTAAGAATAATAAAAATGCATATAACTAGTAATATGCTTGACAAATATCATCCATCTTCTAATGGTCTGGACCTTATCTTTAAGCAAGATATTTAAAAAAGTTATTTATCAAAGTTTAATTAAATAAATATCAAACCTGTTGTTTCAAATTATTTTTCTTGTTTTTACACTAAACATTATAAAATTTTGTTTTAGTCATCATCATCCACCTTTATATCTAATAATAATTCGGATCTTCTGGTGTTTTTAAAACTCTCAGTTAAGGTTTCTGGTCCAAACTGTTTTCTCAAAGCCCAAACTAGTTTGGGCAATTTGGGCTTCTCAATATTTTTTTAAACATGAACATTAAAAAACTATACCAATCAACTTATTTTAACTAAAGTAATTTCGCCCAATTTCGGCTAATAACAAAAAATAGTTTGAGCTTATAAAAAAAGTAATTTTTGCCCAAAGTGTTTTGGCAATTTCGGCTACTAATTGAGAGAGTTTTGGCCAGAAACCTTAGTTGAGGTGGTAAAAAG